GGCACCTCCTGGGTTCCAGCTGGTGCCTGTTGCCCCTTGTCCTGTTGCTGAGCACCACTGACAAGGGTCTGGCCCCAGCCTCTTGCCCCCCAGGGGCTCTTTCACTCTCATCAGCATTGATCAGATCCCCTAAAACCACACATGGGAAGTTCTGCCCCTCTGGAGTGCTGCAGGCAGAGCAGAGGGCTTTCCACACCCCAGGTGTGGATCTGCTCAGCCCAGAGAAGGAGCTGCTGTCCTACCTGTGGGTCTGGCTCCACGTTGATCCTGTAGGCTTGAGCTTTGCCATCTTCCAGGACAGGGGGTGACCAGGTCTTCCCTTCAGCTCTGCGGGGGGAAATGGAGCACACTCAACTTCAATTGCTTTAAAAACACCCAAAAAAACCCAAAACCTCAAAAAAAAAACCAACAGCCAAGAACCAGACTTTGTATAAAACCCAAAAAACCCCAAACATATATATATATAGTATATAAGCCTGCCAGGGAACAGATAGATACATATTTATCTAAAATTATCCTCAGAAATAGCACAGTGGTAAAAAGAGAAGATGCCAGTTCCATGCTATTAAACCCACAAAGCTCAAAACCATTCTTGAGCTACAGGCTGCAGCTCAGGGCTGAGCTTAATACAAACTTCTGGCAGTTGAAGGAGTCTGTGAAGAGGCTTGTGGTGGCTTTTGTTTTGCACACTCCTGGCTTTGTCCCTTGCTCCTGGCCCCGAATCCCCACACGTGCTCTGATGACGTTTGTGTGTGTGTCTGAGTGTGTATCTCTACATCCATCTCTGGGTTTCCTGGCAGGCCCACAGGCTAGCCCACAGCAGGGATGACACGAATGCCTTCCAGGGACTTACACAACCCTCCATGAGTCATCTTGACCCTTTCAAGAAGGGCCAGGCAGAAAAAGCCCTAAAAATGCAGTTTCCATTCACAAACGCATCCTCCGTCCTGCCAAGCAGAGCAGGACCCAAAGATCTTCCATGGGTCTGATCATTCTTCTCCCCACAGAAGCATCTGGGGGCACGTGGCTGGGATGTTGTCTCCAGCATGGATGTCCTCTCTGATGCTCAGGGTATGAGGGAGCTCCAGGGACCCAACCATAGATGAAATCTTTTTTTGGATGCTAAGAGCTTGAGTTGGGAGATGGAAACTGCCTGAAGTACACGATGAAGTTTTCAAGCCCAAACTACTCTTTTTATCCTCACAGTCTCCATCTGCACCACTGAAGGAGAGGAGGTCTCCCTCCCATAGGCAGAGACCACTTGCTGAGGCTGAGAATCTTCCCTTGGACTCTGGCCCCTGCCCCACACCACGTCCAGCTTTGGTTTAATGATCTGCAGAGTCCAGGTTTGAAAATGAAGGAGCACAGTTTATCATCCAGGAATTCTTGAGGTGATTTTTTTTTACCTTTGGTATTTTGCATCTCAGCCAGGCACGTGCCCATGTGTCCAACACAGCCTACAGGATCCCTGAGGATCCCAGTTTGCCAGTCTAGGAGATTCAGAAATCAACTCTGACACCAGAAGATAAGAGCAATGGCAGTAAATTCCCTCTGCATTGGGTGCAGAGCATCACCAGCACTTTCTAGTCAGAGTTTTCCAGTTCCCCACACCCCTGATAGATAAAGATCACACTGTCTCCACCAGACAGCAGCTAAACTTGTGTTTTCCAAAAATCACAGAATGGTTTGACTTGGAAGAGACCTTAAGACCATCTCATCCCACCCCCCCTGCCATGGGCAGGGACACCTCCTACTAGAGCAGGTTGCTCAGAGCCCCATCCAACCTCATTTTGAAGACATCCAGGGATGGAGCATCCACAGCTTCCCTGGGCAACCTGTGCCAGGGTCTCACCACTCTCATAGTGAAGAGCTTCTTCCTAATTTCTAAACTACATCTACCTTCTTCTTCTAGGCTCCACTGTCAGCTCTTTAGAGCAACCAGAAGTTACTGGGATAAGCAGAAGCCTCGTGCAGCTTCCAGCAGGGGCCTGAGCCAAGCCAGACTCCCCTCAGCCACAGCTTCCACTTGAGCTGCTCTGAAATGACCCTGCCAGGGCAGAACTTAGGCTCTGTTTGGCACTTTTCAAGGCAAAGCAAAGGGGGATGAGAGAAACAGTGGCCTCAAAGAGAAATACAAGGGGTTTACACATGGAGACTCTCTTTTTTTCTTCCACAGGAGCAGCAGGACACGAGGTAACCCAAAATAACTGAGAGATGACTCTCCTTGAGAGCACGATGCCATGGGCACCTACTGCAGAATGCCTGGTGCTGAGCTCACACCCAGCCCCAGCTGCAGGATCAGCCCCCTGCCCACACCCCCAGCAGCAGAGGGGGGCACACAGAGCTTGGTGTGGGGGCAGCAGCAAAGCCCCTGCTCCTGGGAGGGACCAGAGGGGGCAACACCCAGATGTGCCAACACCCAGATGTGCCAAGTCCTTGAATTTACAGCTCAGGGACAGGGAAAAGTGTTTTCAGATGTGTTGTAGGGATTAAAGTCACCTCTGTGGAAATCATCACCCCCACACCAACAACCTTCTGCTCTATTTTAACAATCCTGAGGAAAATAACTTGACCTAGGTTGGTGCTAGGCCTTCAACAAGGGGCTTTGTGGGAAAGGGACCCATCAACAGGACATAACTAAAAAAACAAAGCTGCAGACACCTTTTATCCCACCATTTGTTTTCTAAAAGACTCAAGATCATTCTCTAAAGATCACTTGCCTATGCTCAGGTATTTTACCAAGATGTTTTCTCACCTGGTAATGATCTGCAAGTCTTGCTCTCCACGGCTCTAAAGCTGCTTTTAAGTTGCAAGAATTCCTGGGTCTTACTGAATGTCTAATTTCTCCATCCCCTTATAAACTAAGCTTTAGCACTTGGGAAAGTGCCAGGCCAGGCCTAGGATGTCCCTGGCTGCTCTTGTGCAGGTGTGAGAGGCCTTCAGGGACCTCCAGAACCACCACATCACTGTGTTTCACCCCAAACTGTGCAGCTCCTCCTGGGGTTGTGTGTGACCCCAGGTTCCTGCCCACCTCCTGAATGCTGTGTAGCACACCATTTAGGTCACAACTGGTTTTTATCACTGATGTGGCCATCAGATGTCTAGGAGTTGAACTTGGTCTGGAACCAGCTACAGCTGATGCTTCTAATGCCCAGAGCTGTGAACCTCACCCAGGTGTTGGATCCACCCCTGCAGCCTGATGTAGGGTTTCCAACTGATGTGCAAGCTGGGCAAGAGCTTGTAAGGGCTGGTGGACAGAGGAGCTGAGTTCTGCTGAGCACCCCAGTGGACCTGGCTCGTCCAGGGTACGTGAAGAAGCTGTGAGGTTCCTCCTCCCTTCATTCCTCTGGGCTGAAACCACCCCTGTGCATCCCTGCTCTGGCAAGCTGCTGGTTTTCCTCTCTGTCAGTCCTCGAGGAGCTCTGGAGGGGAAGCTGTGATTCACTTTTTCAGTTGTGCTCTTGCTGGAAACTTGAGAACATCACACATTGTCATCCTGCCCACCTTCCAGCAGCGTGCAGCACACCGACCCCAGCAAGACCTCTGAGAGCTGAGGAGGGAGCCAGGCTCAACCATCAGCTACATGAGGTTCCAGGAACTTCTGGGGCTACACGTCCAGTAGACTTATTACTGGGCTTTCTCCCATAGAAACTTCCAGAGAAACTCCATCTCTGTGCAGAGAGCAGGAAGGAGCACCACATCTTCACAGGCAGCTTGCCCAAGCAGACGTGTCAGGGTGCACTGGTCTGTGTGGGCTCCCCCTGCACGCTGCTCACCCCCTGGTTATTCACCCTGCACAGCCTGGGGCTGCAAACCTCACTGTGGTTCCTCCCCTGGGCTGGGGTCACTCTGTCTCCAGAAAATGAGACCAGATCTGACCCGAGCTGCGAGCCCGACGCGCACCCTGGGGTCACCTGTAAAGGAATTTGGGGTTCCCAGCCCAAGCTTCCTTCTCAGCCCCTCACCCTCCCTCTGCCAGGGCTGCAAAACGGCCCCCAGAGCTGGGCAGGGGACCCCACAGCTCCTACTCTACTTAAAAAGAAGAGTTACCACCTCTGAAATCCCTTCTCCCCATGGGCAAGGGCCACACCAGACAGAGGCGGGGGGAAAAGTGCTTCCAGGATTTATTTTAGACAGAAGGAAGCAAAGCTGAAGCTTTGAGGGTTTAGGTTTTGACACCACAGCCAGGAAATAAATAGGATGTGACAGCTCCAGGGTCCTTGGCTGTGCAGATGCTGCCAGACCTCCAGCACCCACCCGGCCCCATGGACAACCAGCCCCAGCGCTGGCACCAAAAGAAAGGGCTGGGATAGGATCAGATAGGGGAGAACAGCACCAAAATTTGAGGAAATAAAGTCTCACAACACACATTCATTCCTCTGTGCATGTTGCAGGAGTGTGAGCACGTTACCCCCAGGGTGGAGGAGCCAGAACTCATCCTCCTTTCCTGATAAGGAATTTCTTCATTCGTGTAACTTCGAAACAAATTTACAGTGAGGAGGGAAAAAAAGAAAAACAAAAAAGAGAACAAACTTTTCCATGTGATCCCCCTTATCCACACATTTACATTATGTAAAACTCTGAAACCCTTGGCTGCCAGCCAGAGGCACACATTGCTTTGTGGCTAAGGACCAAGATCTCTGTACCACATTTCTCTCAGTAATAATTCCCAGAGCTGCTCAACACCCGAGCTCTTCTCCAGCCCACACCCTCCCTTGCAGGTACCAGCAAGGCAGGAGCAGCAGACCCTGGGCTACCTTGGCTTGGGATTCACCCCTTGGGAAGAGGACCCTGGGACAGGCTGATTTATCAGCAGGACATCCCAAACCATCCTGCTAAATCTTCATCGGCACCATCATCACCTCACCCTGCAGCCTGGGGGCTGCTCCAGCCTCACCAAACCCACTGGAACCCCCAGCCTCACACTTCAGAGCTATTCCCCACGAGCTGGATGCCCACCCCTTGTTCCAGGGCACTGGTTCCATGAGTTGATTCCTTCCATGGGCTGAAGGGGTTTTGCTCAGCTCTGTTTCAGAGCAGCAGGGGTGCAGGTACACGACCTGCTGGAGCCAGGGACAGGACACCCATGAACATCAGGGGGCAGGGGTCTAGCCAAGAGAGGCATGACAGAAAGGGGGGGCCATGAATGAGGGAGAGCCACCCCAAGAGCACCTGAAGTCTTTAGAAAAGGACAGAGTCCTGATTTTTAAAAATAAATGTATGTCAGTGCAGCCTGAGAGCAGGGGCAGCCACACAGGTTGCAGAATGGGTTGGGTGGGAAGGGACCTTCTAAGGTCATCTGGTGCAACCCCCCTGCAGGGACAGGG